TATTTTTTAAAAATTGCCTATCTCCCAGTCTAGTCCTTAAAAATATATTAGATATATTTTTTCTCTTGAGAATTAGATATAAATAAATATTTATAACAATATTTTGTTTCTGATGATGTATGTTTTATCAAAGACCATCTAAGCTTTACTGCTGTATACCTTTCCTTCTAAATCTTCACTAGAATATGATTTAGTGGCCATATTTCTAGCAACTGTCTCTTCAAGGCAATGTAAATTTTTTTTTGCTGTTATTTTTGTTTTCTATAAAATACCTTAAAGTTATCCAGCCTCTATTCAGTACCCAAAGCTACTTCCACACTTCCACATTTTTAAGGTTTTTTTTTTTTTTTTACAGCACAGCCTCACTTCATAGTGCAAAATCTGTACTAGATTTCTATTGTTTTAGAGATAAATTATGAGGATTTAAGTGCCTTAAAAACAATAGAAATTCATTCTCTTAAAATTCAAGATATTCGCAGCATCATATTTCCTCTGAAAGTTCTAGAGAAGAATCCTTTGTAGCTTCTTCCATGTTATAATGAGTGCTGGTAATCATTGGCTTTTCCTAGCTTGTAGTGATTATTCCAACTTCTGCCACATCATTGCATGGCTTTCTTCTCTTAGCCGTAGAGTGCAAATGTTTATATTCTTAGAAAGACACTAATGATTGAATTAAGGTACACCCTAATCCAGCCCTGGTATGGTGCTGTAGGATCAGCGCTGGACTTTGAACAATAAGGGCAGCAGTTGAAACCCAAAAGTCACTTCTTGAAAACCCTATACATAGTCACTATGAGTCAGAATTGAATCCATGGCACTTAACAACAACATCAACCTAATCCAGTACAACTCCATTTTATCTAATTTCAGATGCAAAGACTTTGTCTCCAAATAAGGTCACATTCTGAGTTTCTGGGTATGTTGTTGTTACATGCTATTGAGTCAGTTGCTACTCTTAGTGACACTATGCACAGCAGAATGAGATGCTACCCAAGTCCAATGCTCCTCAGAATCATTGTTAAGCTTGTGGCCATTGCTGCTGTCATTGTGTCAATCCATGTTGTTGGGGATCTTCTTCTTTTTCACTGACTATCCACTTTCCAAATACAATGTTCTTCTCTAGGGATTGGTCCCTTCTGACAATGTCTGAAGTGTTAGAGATGAAGTCTCACCATCCCGACTTCTAAGGATGATTCTGGCTTTACTTTCCCCAATTCAGATGTTTGTTCTTCTGGCAGTCCATGGTACTTTTAATAATCTCCAACAACATACCTCAAATGCATCTATACTTCTACAGAATTACTCATTCATTGTTCAACTTTCACATGCATATGTTATTGAAAATGCCATGGTTTGGGCCTAGCACACACCTTAGTTCTCAAACTGACATATTTGTAATGTGCTGTTAAATAATTTCAGAATCACAGAATCCTGCATCAAGTTTCTAAGGAGTGGCTGGTGAATTTGAACCACCGACCTTGCAGTTCAAGCTGACCTTGCAGTCCATTGCATTATTATCATAATAATTATTATTTGATTCTATTGAACTTAGTAAAACACCCTTCTAACTATTCACATATTAGCAGTTGTTTCTTTCTCAGACACTGCATCATGTTTTATTAATCTAATGTGGAATTAATCAATGTTCTGTTCCTACAGTCTTTATCCAAGATTTATTTTTAAATGGTGTATCTGTACAATAAGCTCTGGACAGCCAACCACACCATCGGTGATTGGAGCAAAGAAACTTCTCCAGGGGAGGAAAATAGGGCTTTTTCCTCCTGTAAAGATGTACAGACTCAGACAGCATTGTACAGGGTCACTAAATCAAATAAGAACTTCCAAATTTTCATGCAAAATTATGAGTATTATTACCAATAGTGGAGAAGGAATGGTAGTTTTTGAACAATACTATTAATTTTAGATCTATTTTATAATATAATTTACAGCAGAAAGAACTTTGAATTAGGTGTGCAAATTCTCACATTCTGGTAAAAATTGTATCTTTCCAGGAGCTGAGAAATTCTGGTGATTGATATGTTTCTGTGACTAATTCTTGGTGCCTGATGTTTTTCTATGATGTTATTGTAGCAGAGCAACTCATTAAATATTATCAACAGATGTTTATCTCTAATTGACTTCTGCCTCTAAAGTTAATATTAATATATTATGAGTGATATGATATGATGCTGTAGGGATAAGCACTGGAGGGCTGACTGCAATATTGTAATTTCAAACCCACCAGATGCTTCTTGGGAATTCTATGCAGGGTCTCTATGAGTCAGAACCCAGTTGCCAGCACTTGACAACAACAACAGCATCATATGTTCTGTAAATAAGTAGCCCAATTAAACTTGCTAATCCTGGAAATGTTGGACAAGCAGAAGCAGAAAATTCTTTTTACTAAGTTGATGGTAAAATCTATGTAACTAGGTCTAAAATCCCAATTTCACTTCTGAAAACAGCAGCATGTAAACTTCTTTAATATCTGTGTGTATTGTATAATTTTCTGCATAATAGTTTTCATTATTTGATATTAAATAATATTGTCTTTGAGAAATTATATATTTTATATTCTCTAGAGAGTTCAGCAGATGGAACTGAGCTTCTTAGGAAATTAGGTGGCTGAAATCAGACTATATTCTGCACATGTGTTAACATGCTTATGCCCAAACTATTTTTAAAACTTGAAGTAGAACTGTCTCCATGTCATATATCAGCTTACAATTTTCATTTCTGGTTCCAGATAAGTTAATTTTTCTCTTGTTAGAACTGGAAGGGTGAAAATTATGAATCCATTGATAAAGCAATGGAAAGATATTGATCTTAATGAATTTTGGAAAAATATGTGAAAATTTGGTGTATAATGAATGGAAGGTCTTAGGTAAATACAGAAGCAGAGAGAAACTTTTGGTAATCTTAAAATCTTAAAAATATACAAGGGTGAGTCAAAAATTATCTGCTCTTTGGTTGTATAATTTATTTTATCAACTTTTAATAAAGACAAATACATCATTTTTTTGACATAGTCTCCTTGATTTTCAATACATTTTACTAATCTGTCAATAACTTCCATATTCCCTCTTTAAAAATGTTTTAGGGTGAGATTTGAGCCACAAATTCATCTCTGTCTTCACTTTCTCATGAGAGGTGAAAGTTCACCCTCAAAGGCTGCTTTCAGGAGACCATGCAGGTGAAAGTTCAATGGAGCAAGATTAGGACTATAAGTAGGATACTTTAACATCACAAAATGAAGTTTTTCAGAGTGTCAACAGTGTGAGGAAGTATGTGGATGTGCATTGTCATGCAAGATAACAAAGATCTTGTATACAGTTTCTGCATTTAATCTGAAGTTTAGGCTTCAGCTCATCAGTGAGCACCTCACTGTAACTAGCACTGTTGATTGTTGAAGCTTTTTCCTGAAAGTATCCCAATACTGAACTTTGAGGATCCCAGTAAACTTAAACAGCTGAAGGTTGACTTTTGAACTTTTTCTTGGTCAGCATTTAAGGCTGTTTCCATTTCATATTCTGCCATATACTCTCAGGCTTTTGGTAATGAATACATGCCTCACAATCAGTAACAGTTCTTTTAAAGAAAGTTTTACCTTCCACTTAGTATTAATCCAAACTTGGTTTGCAGATGTCAGTGTTTACACCTGCACAGCAATGACCTTGAATGGAAAGCACTGTAGAGCCAACTGAAGTTTTAATATAACTGGAGTATGGATTATTTTTAACTCAGTCTCATATACATGGAGTTTACTGGATAGAGAAATGTCAGATAATCATGCATTGATTGACATTTTACTAAGAAAACTACTTTAGCCTTAGCCTGCAAATACCAAAAGCACTCAGTAATAAATATCTAGGGTTCTCCTTTATTGAAATAGAATCTTGGCATGTTGTGAAGGGGATGGAGGGCAGTTTTATGACATTCAAAATTGAGAGCAAAGAGTTCCACAATGTGGCATTGAGATGATTCCCAAAATCATGAACTGCTCCACACTTACATCTCATTACACAAAAGTTCTATTAGCAGTTATCTTCAAGTACAGTTGCTAATCAGCTTTCAATTGTATTCAAAACAGTGAATATACATCTTAGTATTACTCAGTATTA